CAAGAAGTGTTATGTATCGATGCATAAATTCATGTGTCGATACATAAAAGTTAAAAAAACAATTTTCCTTTCTTTTTACACTATCTTTACATTTTTTTATTTACATTTTTTTCATTGCTATTCATTTATTCAATATGGTTATAATAATTTAATTAGGTTTCTACTTCATCCCCATTTATAAATTGTACCCCCATCCCCCAAATGATGTGATAGCATAGGATTTTAATTTCCGCAATTTATCGCTTTTAATATAATTGTTAGTAATTAGGGTGTGTATGGTAATATAAAATAAATCTTAGAAAACCCTAATCTCAAGACAAAAATGCATGCAATCAAACACACTTTTCACACGCGCACATCTAGGGTAACCTCATTTGTTTCCTACGAATAAATAGTCATGTCCCTCAAATGTGGGACGCTTTAGCAAAGACCCTCAATAAAAAAATATCGTAGTCCCTCGATGACCCTTTGATGTTGCCTTCGGTAAAACGATCTTAGTCCCTTACGAAAATTGTTAAAGCCTCTCATAGGTTTCCTTCTATGACTATACAATGACCCACGCCCGTCCCTTCATATCCAATGATATGGCTTCTTATCAATCAATAGTAAGATATCAACATCTAAAGGAGGAAAATAACTAAGACCCTTTTGAGTAGGTTGAAAGTTCATAGTTGCTTGCTTACAACATTTTCAAAATGACATCTTTAAAAACACACCAACACTTTTAAAATGAAATATTTTCAAAAGTCAACACTTTGTATACATTCTTATAGAGACGAGAATCATTACAAAGTTCACCTAAACGAAGGCGCTTTCAAAAATACATTCAAAACAATCACAAACACATTTCAAACAAAGCCTTTTCAAATAAAGATGAAAAGGATGCTAACACCTTCCCTTTTCATAGCCTACCCCCCAAACTCAAGAAAAATTCTCAAAAGGTCTTTCGGGTTCTTTTCACCCTTTCCTTTATTGGATAAAAGAAAAGTCGGTGGTGACTCTTTCTATTCGTAACAATTACGATAAAATGCAAAACACCCAAGTCAGTTCTCCCACCATATTACACTATCCAATGTGGGACTATTTTCCCACTTAATCACACTTTCATTATTATTCTAACACAAACAAGCCACAAACTTCGCTACCATGGTAAAAGGATCCACTAAAGTCTATTTGGAAGATTTCTATAAGATGGCTCCCCCATCCAAGAGAAACGAAGTTGAAATAAGAATATCGAATTATCTTTAAGTTATCTGAATTATGATATGATAGAACAAAATATATAATTCTTCCCAAGTAGCATATCACACAGTTTGTTGTTGCGTAATGATGTATATCGAGGTTGCTCAGATATTTGTCCAAAACACCTATAATAATGGCTAATTTCGTACAAGTGGAAACTTTAGCATGCAGGAGACTCCATAAAACTAAAGCATAAGGAACCTTATGCATCTCTTTCTTTTCAATAACTGTGACAGGGAATTGTTTAAGGCTAAACATGTATTCCTTAGCAACATGTGTATCTTCTGGTTTACTATCCTTCATGAAGATTCTATCCACAACTATATCAATATAGCTCATCTGAGACAATTGATAAGTGCAAATTGTAGCTATTTCTGTATATAATTTTTGTTGCACTTATTGACTCTTTGTTGTTAATATCAGGTTGAATAAACCCAACTTTTATGTAAATATGTTTAGTTTATGTATATTAGTGTTTTTTTTGTAAAAAATTTATTGTTTGATAGTTTTATATATATTTTATAGGTATTTTAGCATTATTAGAGCAAGAGGAATAAAATCTCCAAAGTGCAGTTATGATAAATAAAGGAATAAGGAAAAAGAATAATCCATTTGAAGTTGTGCAGAGAAAGAAACAAAATTTGTTATTCTAGTATGCATTGTCGGGCGACGATGGGGTGAGCAGCCATCGCGTCTGCTTCGCCAGGCAGTGGTGGAGCGACAAGAGTTGAGTTTTTCCAGTAGCTTCTACTTTGCTTCGTTATTGTGTCGCAATTCAAATAATAAAGGTGTCTCTGGGAGATTGAATATATTTAAGACCAGTTACGTGTGTGGCGTAATATGGACCATGTGTTCAGGAGTCGTTATCGGGCGATGCTTTTTGAGCGTTGGGCGATACGTGCAGAACATAATTTGGTTATATTTCCTTTTAATTTCATTTTGTTTGGTTATGGTTGTAGGGGTAGATTTTGATCTCCCAATTCCATTAACCTCATTTTTATAGTGGATTAGCTTAGATAACAATTATGGAGCTTTCATATAGATGATCCAGGGTGGATTTCTCTTTGATCGGCGCTGACAAACCGGTAGATTTGTGGTTCATTTCTCCTTTTCTTTGTATATTCTCTAATATTTGGGTTTTTATATGTATTTACTTTGAACACAAGTATTTTTTTTCCTTGGTGTTATATAAAACTTGTTTACAAATCTTTGTCGATTATTGTCTTGGAATTTTACTCTATGGTTAGGCTTTGGGTTGTTATAGAGATATACTGCTCAGATTCTTATCTAGGATGATAGTCTGTTAGTTTCTAGATTCTAAAAATAGATTTATAGCTGACATTCACTTGGGTGTATGTGATTAATGACTATGTTGGTTGTGTCGCTCTAAGAGATCATCGACGTGATTAGCACGGTTCACTTCTATGTTGCTCAGGTGGTTGAGATATCGCTACCAAGGTGATAAAGTCAGTCTCTCAATTTGGGTTAGAAATGACTTAGGTTGTGAGTGATACATGGTGACATTGACGAGTATTGAAGGTCGAGTATAATTGGCTGATAGGTTTAAGTCTGTGATGAGTGGATTATATGCACTCTTGATAAGTTTATCCTTTTCTTTGTTTTTATACATTTATTTTCTGTTGATACATTTTACTTCTCCTTAGAATCCATTGAACCCAAACTCATTAACGAGAGATATGTCGAACAATAAGTCATTAGCACTAATCCCTGTAGAGACAATATGCTATAAACTATAAAAATATTTACTTTTGCTTGTAGCTTTACCGCTTCAGCAACAAACCCAAAATACATCGGGAAATATCTTGTAGTATTTGAATTCCTAAGATAAAGGATGTGTCTCCTAGATCTTTCATCTAAGAATTCTCTATGAGAAATATCTTGGTTTCATGCATTAAGTATATATGATTGCTTACCAAAAGAGTGTCATCTACATAAAATATGAAGAATACAATTTTATTCTGATTGAATTTATGCTATATTAAATAATTAACTGAAGGGTTAAATGCACTTTACCCCTTGCAATAGTAGCGGGTTTTGATTTACTCTCCTTTTAAAAAAAAATATCTTTTCGCCCCTTAACAAATATAGATTCCAAAATAAAAAACCTTTTAGCCTAAAATTTCATTTGAAATGCCACTATGGCATCATAAAATTGTTGACTGGACTTATTTAAATCCACATGGAATTTTATTTTATTTTATTTATTTAATTTTAATTTTATATTTTATTAACTTTTTTTAATTATTTTTATTAACTTTTTTAATTTACGTTTATTTTAATTTTTTTTATTAATATTTTTTAGAAATAATTTTTTTAAATTATCAAAATATTTTATTTGGGCCGAAACTCATTTAGGTTTCAATAGCAACCCACTTACTCTTACATTATTTTTAATTCATAATTCCATAAGTTTTATTGGTATATAAATACTAATGGTGTTTTAATACCAACTGATGTGGTTCTATTACTGAAACAACACAATACTGCCATCCCTTTGAAACAACCGACTGGACAATCAACTGATAATGAAATCAATGAAGTCGCCATCGAATGTTTTTTATCCCACATGAAGGGAAAGGTAAACATCGAGTAAACCTGAGAAGGGTGAAATCAAGGTCGAACGACCAAGAGATACGGGGAAGGGAGTCTGTTATGCGAGGGAAAGGTATTAGCACCCAACATGCCCGTAGTACTCTACCGTATCCACTCTTGTTGTTCTAATCTAATGAGTGTGTAAGAATATATATTTAAGTTGTACAAGGAATGCATGTAAAATAAAGGAGAAAAGAATGTAGGGAAAATATAAGTTGTGCTTGTTCGGGCCCTACCCCGATGCCTACGTATCCCTTTTAAGGAACAAGAGCAGCCATAGTTCGGCTTCAAATGTTTTTGTTGGTTTTTATTTTTAATGAACATTATTAATTTCGCCTTCTGCCGTATACCTAGGCTAGCATACCAAAGAAAGTCTAACAAAACTATCCTATGGGGAACATGCAATGAGAGCGAAGTCGTGATCTCAATTTCTAAATTGAGTGACTCATCAATCAACAAGAAATCAATGAAAGCGATAAAATCCTATAGGGAGCATGCACTGAGAGCAAAGTCGTGATCTCAATTTCTAAATTGAGTGACTCATCGATCAACAAGAAAGTAAACAAACACAAGCACAACACATATAGCAAATGAAGTGCAGAATGTCTGATACAGGTCTTTAAACAGTGACTTCGAGTGCACACTCTTTATTTCCTACTTCCTACTTCACATGATTTCTAGAAAGCGATCAAATTCAGAAACAAGATAAACAAGGAAAAATACCAAACGGATATCAATCCGTAGCAAAGCCTATTAAAACAAAGAACCCAGAAAACTTCAAGTAAGCTCCACCAAGCAAAGAAAAGAATCCGAAATTAAATGCTCAGGATAAATGTCGAAGCACCATCATTGTGAAAATAAATCACAATTGAAATTTTGAATATATTCGCATATCGCATAATGAACCTACATAAGACTCAAATCTCAACAAGAAAATGTGAATTTCCAATCTCAAATATAAGCGGATAATCGGGATTTCACTCTTAAAAAAAACAAATAAAAATCTAACCAATTTTTATATTTGATATTATAATTTTTTATCATGTGCAACAAGTAATATTTCATGGAAAAATATTAATAAAAGAATTTAAAGTAATCAATAAGAAAGCTAAAGAAAAATAGAAAAACTAAAGACTCAGGGATGCATGGAAGAATTCCCGGGGTGGTGTGCAGAAGCAAGTCTGGTGCCTAGGCCCATTCAATGGTCCAGTAAGCCTGTTTTTTTTTTTAATCTTCCCAAGCTGCCTCCAAAAATGGTATGGGCTTAATGATTTCGATCCGCTTTGATCATACCAAGATCCATCAAACTTTTATTCAGCTTATCTCCAATATTATTAATAACAGGAATGAACAAATAAAACAACAAACCAATAAATAAATGGCATGATTCTGTGTGCCTAGGGTTCCCAAATCGTGTGACGGTTCAAGTTCCCGAATTACAATTGCTTCTTCTTTGTTTTCACCCTCTCAACGGCACCGAAATCTCAAATTTACTCCTCTCATATTCACCCGGTGCGGCGTTATTCTCTGTCTCAAATCTCTTCTTCGCCCATTAAACCTTCCTTCTCAGCGTCATGGCTTCCTCCTTATCTACGCCGCAATTCTTATCAATCCATCTGCCATAGACGCTCCATGGGCTCTCCAACAACGTCAAAATCACGCATAAAACTATAAGATTATTCAGGTAACTCGTCTTGTGCTCTTCTCAGTTTCGCTACGAATTCCGCTCTATTTCGATGCGTCTTTATTTGTGTTGATTCTGCGTTTGAGTTATCGTTGTTGTTGATTGAAGGTTGGTGATGAAGAAGGAAAGAGAAGATTGGAGGTGGTGGAGAAGATGAAATATATATGGAGAGATAAGTAGTTTTTAGAGATTGATTTTTGGGGATTCCCCAGAGATTGAAGGATGATTGAAGGTGTTTTTTTGTGATTCTCCCAGAAGAATGGAGAATAATTGAAGATGAAGATGCTATTATGTGGATAATGCACAAGAGTTGTAGAGGAAGAAGAGAGATTAGAGGTTTGGTTAGGATGGAGGTTGGGAGAAGAATAAGAGAGAGTTTTGGAGAGTGATCTTTATGGCTCTTTTATGGTTCTTCTGGTGAAGTGAATGATCAATGAATCCAGGTAAGCTTCTTTTTTCTATATTTCTGTTAGTGTTGTTATTTGTAACTGATTCGGTTATGGTTAGTTAGTTGGGAAGTAGTTATAAAATTATATTTTGACAGTTAGGATAGTTAGAGTCAGTGGGTTATTTTGGAAATTAGTTGGTTCTGTTTATGCAATTATGGTTAGAAGTTGGTTGGGTTTATGTCAATAGTCATTTAGAAACAATTAGGAAATGGTTAAGGAGTTATGTTAGAAGTGGTTAGGAAATTAGTTTTCTTTGGAAACTTTTAGCATTTTCTGTTATGCTTTGCTTTGTGGACTGTTAAAGGTTTTTAGGAGATAATTACAGGGCTGTTAGTTTATTTTTTGAAACATTTAGGGAATTCTCTTAGTTGGAGCTATTAGTTTTTCTGTGTTTTGGCAGTTAAGAAGTTAGGAAAATGGCAGATTGATTGGTTAGAAAAATTTTCTGTTGACAGTTTGCAGGGCTGTTTGAAGAGAAGGTTAGAAATTCTATTAAAGGTTCTTTTTTTTTCTTGCTGAAAGTTTGCTAGTGGGTGCAGTTGGCTAGTTGCTGTTAGTTACAGAGAAAAAGTCTTGGATATGTTTTAACAGTTACAGGTTAGTTGTAGAAATATTATAAATTTTAATTAGGGAATGAGCTGGTAAGTTATCTTTGAAAACTTAGCTTGGATATCATGGATTGCTCTAATGTTTACGTAAAGATGGGCTTATTTATTTGTTCTGGATTTTCTGTTGATGCTTGGTTTGAGCTGGATGTAATAATGGTTCGCTCTTGTAGGTATGTAGCATGCTATTTTTATACAGCAGTTCTTAGACCACGAAGTTGGCATGAATAATAATATTTGTTGCAGCATGTGTGATATGTAATAATGCTTATTCTGAACTTGGGTTATCCAAATTCCACGTTGATGCTTGTTTTATCCTCTTTTGTGCAGATTAATAACATGGTAGCAACGGGTAGGAAAGTACGCATGAATTGCCTTTAATATGCTGACTGACTTGATTATTTTGTGGGGCTGCAAATCTGGGAAACAGGTTGTTAGAAAACTGTTTTGGTCTAAATGGTAGTGTATAGCTCTCAATTTGAAGAAGGCTTTAAAATTGAGAAGATGACATGAGAGGTTGAATATGGCATATGAAGAAATACCAAGGAAAAGCAGTCCGTAGTTTGGGCTAAGTGAAGAAGAATTTGAAGATGGATACTTGGCACAAATATGGAAGCATGAAGATGTTTGGATATTAGGATTTTAGACTTTGAACAAAAGTTTGTGTAATATTTTTTTGTATGATGTTTAGACAAGATGTCATGGTTTTGTAAATTGGATTTATGATTTGTAAATGATAAACATTGTAAAACTTGAATAGTGAATGTTGAACTTGGATTTTGAACTTTTGTACTTGAAACTTGCAATTTCATATTATGGTCACTTGAACGGTGAATGAAATTTGGGCTTGTGATCTTGAAATTTGAAATAGCCTTGAATAATTCTCAAGTGACCTCGTACATGAATGAGCTTGATATTTGATCTAAATTTAAAATAACTTGTTTCTCAAGAAATCCTCATGAATCCTTTTCTAACCTTGCATGCTTGATAAATGAACTTTAATCCAATTTTTTAACAAAATTTGAATTCACATGATATTTCTCTTGAAATAATTCAAAGCAAACTCCATAAACAGGAAAGTATAAACAGGAAACTTGTAGCAAATTTCCTCACGATTTCAGAAATGCAAAGCAATAAAATTATAGATCAAAGATAAGTATGAATTTTAATGGCCCTAATCTGAACCCTAAAAATCTCAGAAACTTCAATCTTAAAATTCTCTAAGCTCAAGCAAAATTAATAAAAACTATGGACATGGTTAGCTTTAGGGCAATGATAGATTTTAGTGAGTTCCAATGATTGGATGAGCTTCAATGATTGGATGAGCTTCCTCAAGTTCCCAGGAAGCTAATGGGATGCTTAGCTTGAGCTGAAAGTGCTTGAGGAGTTCTGGAGAAGTCAAGGTGCAAGGTGTTGTTTTTGAAAATGGTGGATGATGATGGAGGTGTTACAGTGGTGCTGCAGGTGTTGGTATTGTTTGTATATGTTGTTTAGAAGCTTCAGAAAGTAAAAGGCCAAGAAATGCACGAGCAAATTTGGAAATTGGATTCAAAACTCAGAAATGAGAAGTTTTAAAGTGTTTTTGGTGATTCTGTGTTCTAGGTGTTTTCAGGGCTTAAGCATGCGTGGGATTTGTGGCAAATGGCTTGTGTATGTATAAGCAAAAAGGTTTGAGTGCTTTTGAAAACCATAAGTACAAGTTACAAGCTAAATGCTAGGTTACTTGATTTTGAAGAAAAGTGGGAAAACAAGTTTAAAGAGGAGGTACAAGCATGAGCTAAGTGATTGTAATTGTCTAACAAGTTTCTCTTGAGTTATAAGACATGTATGATCAGAAGAGAACAAGTGTAAGGCTCAAAAACAAGTTTTGTGCAAAAAGTCACTTTATCAAAATGGCAATGTGCACTTTCTTCCCAAAATGGATATAAACTATGGCCTTGCATTGAATGCTTGAAATGAGACCTCTAACAGCTGTGAAATCAATTAATTATGGAGTTCCTAACATGTTTGAGGCCTTCAAAGTAGAGGTTATGCAGTATAACTTTGAATTTTGAATTTGGTTCATCACAAAATGACTTGTAATTCAAGTGATAAAACCCTAACTTCATCTCTTCGATTCTCCCTACTCAAAAATGATCTCAAGGAGTTCTTGGACATTTCGGAAAGCTTGCAATGTGGTCTACAACCCATATTTGAATCACTTTTGAGAATTCCCATTGGAACAATATGAAAAAGTTCCATGAAGTTAGGTCAAAATCCTGAGCAAATTAGGGCAAAATTTCACTAAGTGTTTTTGTTTCATGACCATGTATTCTTAAAATTATAACTTGAGATCCAAGCACTTTTTGAAGGATTTGTGTTAAGAACAGTTGTAGATTTCATGGAGATCTACAACTTTCATGTTGGAAGTTTCTTTTGAATTATCTTGCATCATGGTGAAACTTTTGCTCAAAGTTGTGAAAAAAATAAGAAATTTCCAACACTTAGAAAAATTTCTAAGTTTAGAAATTATAACTTTTCAAAATGAAATCTTGAATTTTTGATTTCTTGATGAATAAGTTTCATATTTTGACATCCTTTGATGAATTATGATCTTTGACATTTGAATTTGACAAAAAAGTCAAAGCTTGACTTTTCAGTATACAGTTGACTTTTGATCAGTTGACTAAAAATTCATTTGTCAATCCATTGGGCGTTGAGCAATGTTTTGAGCCATGTCAATAGGTCAAAATTATCCAATTGGAATCTTCAGATCATGCCTTAAACCAATTGATCATTTGCTAGGTCAAAAAACAGAAATTGCCCTTTCCCCGTCAAAACCCTAATTATGACCATTTTGCCCTTTTGAAGATTTGATCAAATTCCTTGAGGAATTATGGTAAAAACTTGATAAAATGATACATATGAGTTTAAAATGTTGATGTGGATAAAAAATTATGAAGTTTGACTGTAAATTGGTCATAGTTGACTTTTCCCCCAATACAACTGATTTTTAGGTCAACTGCTCAATTGACTGAGCAAAAGTGTGATCCAAAGCTTGAAACTTGACATGAGTAATCTTGAGGGTCCATAATGATCCATGAAAGTCATATGGGGTATTGTAAGTTCAAATATACTTGTGCAATCTCAAACCCTAATTTTGGTCATCAATGCTTAAGGAGGTGTCTTGAGCTGATCAACCCTAATGCAGTCTTGAGTCAAAGGAGATCTTGTGAGAAAATTCTTGATAACTGAGAGGGCAAATTTTGGGGTATAACAACTGACCCTGTTCAATCTTCTTAAGCCTGAAGAGTTAGATTTGCGAGTTATTGCCATTCGCGACTCGAACGTGGAAGATGATTGGACATTAGAGTGCCCAGAAATTTGCACTCGGTGATGTGATGGTTGATGGTATAGGGAATGGGATTAAATATGACATTTGGAGGGTTGATGGAAAGTTGTTGGCTCTGGGCTTGTAGATTCCATCCAGAAATGATTGTTGAACCATATTTGTAAGCTGAATCTGAATGAGTATCAGAATGACATCCGTGTCTAGAGCGTATCTGAACTGTATCTGAAGATTGAATCTGAATGAGTATCAGGATGGCATCCGTGTCTGGAGCGTATCTGAACTGTATATGAAAGTTGAATCTAAATGAGTATTAGAATGGCATCCATGTCTAGAGCGTATCTGAATTGTATCTGAAAGTTGAATCTGAATGAGTATCAGAAGGGCATCCGTGTCTGGAGCGTATATAAACTGTATCTGACAGTTGAATCTGAATGAGTATCAAAATGGAATCTGTGTCTGGAGCGTATCCGAACTGTATATGAAGATTGAATCTGAATGAGTATCAAGATGGCATTCGTGTCTGGAGCGTATCTGAATTGTATCTGACAGTTGAATCCAAATGAGTATCAGAATGGCATCCGTGTCTGGAGTGTATTTTAACTGTATTTGAAGATTGAATTTGAATGAGTATCAGGATGGCATCCGTGTCTGGAGCATATCAGAATTGTATCTGAAGATGGAATCTGAATGAGTATCAAGATGGCATCCGTGTCTGGAGCGTATCTAAACGGTATTTGAAGATTAAATCTAAATGAGTATCAGGATGGCATCC